ATCACGGCAAAAAATCTGTTCACATATATGTGTGAACAGATTTTTTGCCGTGAATCGACGTGTGTATTACACACATACTTTTTCCAAATTTGGTCCAATTCGATTCAGAATGGCTTGAAACGTCGAGAAAACATAAAATTAGCAAATCGGATTTTTTTATGAAAACATAGACTTTTCCTTTGGGAAGTTAAAAATGTAATTTTTAGACGTTGACATCAAATTTATTTACCTTTGCAGCAGCTACGATGTCCCTTTTCAATTTATTCCTCTTGGCTCTCAAAAATTTTCTTCTCTGCTGATCATTCCACGAAAGAGCTTTAATTTCATCATTGGCAGCTGCTCTATCTTCATGTGGTGAAGGGCTTCTACTTTTTGTTCTATCATTTTTTGGTGGTATGTATGTATGGTTTGAAGAAACCTGAGAAGACTTCTTCGATAATTTTGGATCGTCGTCTTCTTGACTTTTATCTTTTTTTGGTTTTTCTGGTGCTGGTTTGTCAGCAGTTTTGGTTTTGTCATCCTTGGTTTGACTGGATTCGTCCTTTTTAGGTTTGGAATAAAGTGCTTTTAATTTGGATGTTATAGAACCTATCAGATTGGCTTCATCTTTGGCGAAACCGTGATTGTAATTACTAAGTAATTCTTTATTTAAAATGAGATTTGTCGGTTTATGTGTGCGCAAACTATAAATTTTCTCTGTTCTTGTACTGCTTGATTGATTTGTTGGCATTCCATAATTAAAACTATTACAACTATGTACAACCTTCATTAAACCATTGTTCAAATCTACAGAACATCCAGTGCGACTAGTTTGTGTCCTCAATTTCTTAGCAATTACGTCATATTGTTTGTCATCATTAGAGTCACTTGTAGTTCCCAAACCAACATCAGCCATGATATCATGTTCCAATAATCTGACACCATTTAAAAAATGCAACGTCTCTTCATTGGTTGGAGTGAAATCTCCAATGTTGTCTTCTAAACATATGCTTTTGTCCATCCACTCTTGCACTTGTGCAAGATCAGCTTTGACAGTGGTATTGTTAATATATGGTCTCGCCTTGTTTGAATCATTATATTGCTTTTCTTTTCTTGATCTGTACTTTTCTTTGTCGTATTTACTCTTTGATAAATATATTTTCTCGTGTGGTCTTCTGGAAGAGGAATGATTTCTTCGGCTAGGTTCACGTTTGCTTTTTCGTTGTTCCAAGACACCAGAAAATTCATGTAAACCATTCAAATAGTCATTGCAAAATTTGCCTGATAAAGTTTCTTCGCTATCTTTCTGTCGCCGTTCATAAATTTTATTATCGTCTTCACTAAATCCGCCAATAATCTTCTTACCAGTCTCGTACACTATGCTAATCAAATTTTTCAAACCATTTGTCTTTGTAGAAGCAATATCGTAACCATATAGTTCGTTGGAATCGCGCTTTAGCCTCTCCCGATCTGTAAAGTCCATCTCACCGAATCGTCTTTTGATGTCTATGACATTGGAACTGGGTCTGGATTGTATGTTATCCTTAGAACTGGTCCTAGATACTTTACCCAAGTTGTTAGAACTGGATGCTTCATTCAAGTTGTGTTCTTTGCATTGGAAACTGTCTGAGTTTTTGCTAAATTGCTTGGTACGGTAAAGACTTTTAAGTTCATTATCTTCTGATGAGTGGTTCATTTTAGAACTGGCTCTGTTGTGATATTCAAGTTTTGGTTCATGTTGACTGTGTTTTGAAAACATACTATTAGTTTTTAGCTTAGTATTGCTATGTGGAGGCTTCTCTTTGTCTTCCTCATTGTTTACCAGTTGTTTTCCTTCCTCATGATGTATAGAACAATCACTAAATGTACCACTGATGACTTCTTTAATTTCTTCAAGTGATTCCTCATCAGTTTTGGTGTTAGATTCAAAAATTGATTTCATTCTTATTACGTTGCTTTCTGAACTTGCAGGTTTAAAAAATTTTAGTTTACTTCCAGATTTTTTTGTGTCTTTATCGTCGTCGTCGTCTGCATCCATGCCACCACGTTTACGCTTCAAATGAAAATTGCATCCTTTTTTTCTACATCCGCCTAAAATATCGAAACAATCAGGGCGTCCACAATCGTTGTATTTCAGTCTCTTCAGCATCTTATACTCCTGCCAAAATCTTGCCCTTCTTCGAAGTCTACGAGAAATTGTAGTTTCTTCCAATTGCGGATAAGTGACGCCTAAACTGATTTCGTATTCATCCATAAAATTCTTAAATTCATTCGGGTTGGACCAGCTGTAGATTTCTGCACTTGGATTTGTTACTACATTTTTATCGAGACTTGCTTCATTTGTGGCTGAAGATGTTTGTGTCATGCTCGTTTGTGATTTTAATCTTTTATAATTTTGGATTGTATCTTCATCACACAAATTCAATTGGATCCTTTCTTTCATATACAAATTGGGGTTGACTTTTTCGCGGATTTGTCTGTTGCGTTCTTTCCTGTCTTCCGTAAATATATCTTTAGAAACAGTCGAAGACTTCTTGTTTATTAACTTGGTGTCACTTTCAATGGTATTGCCACTTGCAATGGTGTTGTCACTTATCATGGTATTGCCACTTGTAATGGTATTGCCACTTGCAATGGTGTTGCCACTTGTAATGGTGTTGCCACTTGTAATGGTATTGCCACTTGTAATGGTATTGTCACTTTTGATTGGATGAAGGCAGACAATAGAGTCGTTTGTATTTTTGTCCTTGACTTCCATTATAGAAGACCTAAGACCATAATTACCACAAGAGTTGGTAATTACTTCGCTCTTGCTAGTATTACTATGTTGACTTTTGCTTTTACTATCACGGTCTTTGGATTTGGTCTCAGTTACAGCTTTATCATCATTTCCCCCAACTTGTAGACTTTTGGATGAATGATCAGATGGTTTTGGAGTGGTACACATTTTACTTGATATTATTTTGGTATCACTTTTTACACCTGCATCATCTTCAACCTCCTGTATCGTTAATTTATCGCTATCGTCCGATCGTCGATCTTGTTCAGGTGATGTACCAGGACTTTCTTCTTCTTCAATAAACGTTTTGATGAAACTAATAGAAGGATTCCAATTTTCTACTCGGTTCCACCAATGTATGTTATTTGTATGCCGATTCTTGATTATTTCTGTTGACTTTCTGGGACGGGACAAATTGCATCTTCTTTGGGCCAAATATTTAGCACGTAAAATTCTACGCAAATTTTTAGTTTTCGCCTTAAGTTTTTGGGTTTCGTCTTCATCGTGGCTTGAAGATTCCTCTTCTGAACTTGTGTCATCTTCGGAAGATTCACTGGTGGTGCTTTCGGTGGACAGTTGTGTTGCTGTAAAATGGATTGAGTTGACAAAATTCTCTATCAATTGGAATGATTGGTAAATGTTGAGTGCAAAATAATGACTAAAAACAAAAAACATAATACTAACTTTGTCGCGGCATTGGACATTTTTCAGGACCTCTTGTATTTTTCTTCAATTTGCTACAGCAGCATTTTGATGTACATAATGGAGGTTTGCTGGCTTTTCGTCTATCAAAACCATCAATATAATTTTTAGCTGCATTTTTAGTTTTGCTCGCGAAGTCAAGTCTTTGTCTCGTGGACGTTGGTGGTTCTATATCAGATTGAACTATTTTACTATTATTTTTCTATAATATTATTCCAGCAAGATCTTACCTTTGTTTGTGGCTCCATATTTGGCAATATTTCCAACTTTTCTTTTTTTGTGCATACAGTACTTGCATGTCGATTTTACTGGTACAAGTTTTTCGTCATCAGAATTTGAAACTTCATCGCTGTCTTCAGAAACTTCTTTTCGAACACTAATTGAGATGATTTAAAAAAAATAAAAATAATAATAAGGAACTACAAATCTGTGCTAGATGGACAATGCTATTTATTAGATTCTGAGAACTATTTTGGGATCAACCAAAAGACAAATCTCCAGGCGAGACAGATTGAGTAAAATATTGGGGAAACAGTTACAAAAAATATATCTGGTTGAATTTAGGAACACGTGTGAAAGTTCTAAGACCTAAAAATTTACTGAATCTATTAGGAAAACCTGTAAAAATTTAATAATAAGGAACTACAAATTGGTGCTAGATGGACATTGCTATTTATTAGATTCTGAGAACTATTTTGGGATCAACCAAAGAACAAATCTCCAGGTGAAACAGATTGGGTAAAATATTGGGGAAACAGTTACAAAAAATATATCTGGTTGAATTTAGGAACACGTGTGAAAGTTCTAAGACCTAAAATTTTGCTGATTCTATTTAGGAAGACCTATGATGGTCATGTAGATGTTTCAAAACTAAATTTATTGCTGAATTAACCCAGTAAACACGCGATGTGATCTTCTATAATATCGACATCGTTATTATAATGCGGTTATCGAATCAACGCCACAAGAGGATTTTAAACTTGCGTGCGCTTGTGTGTGTTACAATACACGCAAAGCTCGCATTGAGTTGTCTCACGAGACATAAACACGCGCTGTCGGGGGTAATGACATCGTTGAATTTCATGTGAGATACATGTCGTGCGCTGGTGTGTGTTAGCACACATGCAAAGCATAATCAATGACGTCACACAGCGTGAAGCAAACGCGTCGTGCGCTGCGTTGTGTGCGTTGTGTGCTGGTGTGTGTGACCATACAAAGAAAGCTTTACATCAGCGCGCCGTGGCCACTGGTGGAACCGACTGTTTCTTTGACGAAAGCTAACCTAAACCTAACCGCGTACAAAATGGCGCAAAATGTCACGAATTTATCATGCATCAAGTTATATTTTCTTTAGTATAATAATTACATTCGTTTAGTTAAGCAACTTGTTTATGATAATTGTAGAAAAGTGTAGAAAAATGACACCGTAAGTATATCATATATTATTTATATAGATATGTAATTACTTCACGATTTTGAATTCCATTTAGTGCATTATATCCTGGGATGAAGAAACGTTATTTTATGTCGATTTCTTTAGATGACAAAGGAGGTAACCAAATAGCATATCTTACAAAATCTGAGGACAATAATAAGGATCGTTTAGCAAGGTTAAAATAATTATTTTACTAAATTAAGACATTAACATATCCATGTGTTCGACATAACCTCACTTCTTAAATCTCTTAAATTAGTCGGTTGAGAAGCGGATCGAGAATGATTGTTTGAATATGTAAGTCACTACAAATATAATAGCTATACAAATATATATAAACAGCAAACACGTATGCCATGTTCATATTTATTTCAGAAGTCGTACAAAATTGGAATGAAACGATGAACAATATACAGATCTTTAGACAGGCTCAAATAATGTATGTTTAGGAGCAAATTGAAGATAATGGAGATTTATCTTCTTAATATGTAAGTTGATTCATATATAGTTGCTGTATATATATTATTTGGTAACAAATACATTATATTTATAATTGTTTTAGAAAACCTCTAAAATTGGGAACAGTATGCCATATATGCATGAACTTGATTGATGTATTGAAGATAGAATGAATTCAATCAGGTTAAAAAAAATGTATGTGCAAAAGCGACTCGAAGACGATTTAGATTTGTCTCCTGAATATGTAAGTTGCTACACATATGGAGTGGTATATATATTATTAGATTCAATAAAACACATTATGTTTCAAATTGTTTTAGAAAACTTCCAAGAAGTACATCATATATGAATATCCTGTATCCTCGCATTTGATGTATTGAACTGGCGATAGAATGAAATCAGTCAGTGTTAAAAATGTATATGTAAAAGCGACTTTAAGATGATGGAGATTTGTACACTGAACATGTAGGTAGCTACACATATGGTAGCTGTATATATATATTATATTATATACAGTAAATCACATTATGTTTGAATTTGTTTTAGAAAACTTCCAAAATTTGGGGCAGTATGTCATATGTGCATAATCTGTATCCTGGCATTTGATGCAATGAACTGGCGATAGAATGAAATAATGAAAAATAGGCAGGCTGTTTGATGTATAAGGAAGTGGCGATAGAATACTTATACAACACTTCACACTTCACGCCCCAAAAATAGAATTACGTTCATTAGATATACAACAATTTTCATTAAATATACTGTTATTAATATGTTAAGATTGAATAATTTGTAATAGTTTTCTAGTATAGTTCATGTTAAAATTTTATAATTTCTAAACTACAATTCTAATTTGTAATATTTAAATATTGTAAAATTTCTTATTATTCACGTAAATAAATGCTTATTCGTACAGAAAAGAATATTAATTGCATTACGTCATCACTTTCAGGTGCTATTACGTCATAACTGAGTCGCCATTTTGTATGACGTCATGACCGAATCGTTTTCATTCGCCAATGACGTCATGACTGGGGTTAACGCCTTACGTCAGACGGTCTTATCATAATAAACAAACATATGTGGGTCAACGTCGATTTTCATGTATCACGAACGCCGCGTGCGCCAGAGACCGAACCTCGATAGTTGTTCGATAGTTACATAAATTTGCGGCCGTATCCATGAAATATCGACGAAAATGAATATGGGGACCGCATGTCACACGACCTAAATAAAATATTGCCACGATGTTGTGACCATATCGCATGTTTACTGGGAAGTTTGGAAAAGTTATAGAGCTCTGTAGATTTTTCCTTGTACTAAAAATATTACTGATTCAACTTAGGATAACCTGTGGTGAGATGTGACTAAAAATATTATTGATTGACTTTAGGAAAACCTGTGTCAAGACCTGTAGGGTAGTTTTTTTAACCTTTTACACTTCCTATGTTGACTCCTAGCCCCATCCAACTTATGTCTATAAACCTTGGATTTTCCTCTCATCCTGGTCTTCATATCAGCAAACTTTTCTTTGCCATCAGTATCCCTTTTTTTCTTTTTTTGCACATCGAAGTCTCTGGCTTTAACATCACAATCTGATGATGATGACGACGAATAATCTGAGTCAGTTGTGATGTCATCGTTGTCAAAATTTTTTTGGCACTTTTTTAGTTTTTTTGGACAGATTGATTTTATGGCGACATGTGCGACAGTTTGGTAAAGGGTTTTGTTTTAAAAATAAGGAGCAAGTTGAACGTTTGGGGCACTTTTTTCGTACTGGTTGGTTGACTCGACTGTAAAAAAATTAACTTTATTTTCAAATTATGATTGAAGATTTAAGTTAGATTAGATGAAAGGCTTGGCAGTAGGTTTTCACTAATTCTAATTTAAAAATTTACCCAAACCTTTTGCGTTTAACACTTTTTCTCCTGTTAGTAACCTTCATCTTGCTCTTCTTCAATTGTTTAGTCTTCATAATTAGAAAACAAATTTAACATTGTAAATATTAAAATTTAACCCAAAAATAACCTAAATCGAACAAGAACATTTTGGCTTTCGATTTAAAATAAAAAATTTTGACACGAATGAAAAATTTTGGATACGATATTTTATTTCCAATACGGTTTACTTGGATTTGGCAGAATTTACTGGATTCCTTGGATTGGATAGTCTGATGGTAAAGATTGTTTTACAATATTTTTGGTGTTTGTAAAAATCCAAGGATTGAAAAATTTGATAAAATTTAATTTGGATTAGACTTGGAATTCTAGTTGGTCAAATTTCTCCATTTCTAGATTCGTTCTTCAATAGTCATATAATCCTTTGGTTCATCAGTTATTACAAAGGTCTAGGTTAATTATTATTAAAATTTGCATGTCTAAATTTCCTGATCAAGTGGTTGCAACTGATGTCTATTCTCACCAAATCATATTTTTAATTTTTGTTTATTCCTGTTATTTAATGGAATTTTTTTATTCTCCTCCTGTTGCAGAGGCAGTATGTCCTGATTGCGAACTAAATACAATTTTTAACATCGCCCTTTGGCTCGGATACATCAACAGTTGCATAAATCCACTGATCTACGCCTGCAATTCCAGGGAATTGAGAAAATTGTTCAAAAGGGCCCTTTGCAGACAGGGCAGCAGTAGGAATAATGATCCAGTTTTGATAGAAATAGAAAGGATTTTTTTGATAATAGAATGCTTGGTTAGTAAAAGATTGTCCTAAGTTAGATTCGATTTGTCGATTGACTATTTTGTGATATTTTTATAGACTGATGGATTAGATTAAAGGATTTATAAATTAGAAATTAGAAATTAATAAATAGTTATTTTTACATTAATTATTTGTGTTTTTATAATAAATGCAAAATTAAAAAATTTGTTCATCATAAATGGATCAGTAGAAAGTGTCTTTGTGTGGACACCAAATATAAAAACATCTCCTCCGGAAAGTATATAGTAAGTAATATAATTAAATATAAATATTTATTCAACAATACCTTCAATTACAACAAAATAAATATAAATATTCTTATCAACAATAAATAATAAATAACATAAATCCTTTATCCTATTCATCTCCTCTATCTTTCCTCTTGCATCCACAATCTTCATCCTGGACAATCTTCAGTTGTTGCAAATCCTTCATCAAGGAATTATTGGGATCATCCAGATTTATTGCAATTGGTGACCCTCTCATTTTGGTTAAAATTTTATCCAATTTCTTCAAAAACACATCTATTTCGTGAGGATAGCACCCAAGGGGCTGCTGCTGCAGTCAAATAAGGAACCGCTTTCTTGGTCCCTGTAATGGTATCCAGTATGTTTTTGCAGGGGGATGATGTGTGGGCACCCCAATCTGGAAAAAAAATCTTTGGCCATATAAACACATATAGGGTTTAGCTATATACACATATAAGTTTGTATTTACTTTTAAATTCGTATCCACATATAAACTTCACAGATGTGTCTGAGTTCTCAATGACTCTTGCTCCAGATATTCCTCTCATGAACAACATCGAGCCCACCATTGTGCACCGACTTGGTTGTAGAGACGACAGGGTTATTGCTGAAACAAAATTATATATAGAAAACAATAGAGAGTTATCCATCATTTATCAATTACCTGATGAAATAGTATTATTGACATTCTCCACAACCCTTTCTCCATGTTTGTCTGCCAAGTTACTCAGCTCGTGCCTCATGTACACGAATAACTCCTTTCGCTGTTTCACTAATTGCAAATAATTATAGGAGCCCAAAGACAACAATGTTATGAACACGTCCAGAGTTGGAGATATTGAAGCCCTACCTGATAATAGACATACAGATCAGACAGAGTCA